GGTAATGCTTTTTAAAAGTTATTTAAAAAAGAGTGCTTTTCTCTTCTAGATAAGGAGAAATATAATTTCCATTAGAAAGTCTGCAGCAAACTAAAGTAAAAAGTTTTGTTCTGATTTTTGCTTAAATCTAGAAATATCAAAACCATAATTGACATAGGTTCATTAAGACCTATCTCTTGTTTCTCTCTCAAACAATTTTTAACACATCTTCTAATGAAGCCCAAACAATCTTTATACAATGGAAAATACTGGCCTGTTTAGGCCTTTTCCGCTGTAAAATTCATGGTAACATAATTCATCCCCCAAATATAATAATATTTTGTTTGTATAGTATTGATCATGGCTTTGGAGCAAAAAGTGAATTGAACCAAAAACAAGTGAGCTGAATATAATGAATATAATGGATATATTAAAATGTATTTTTGAAATTTATTAATAAATATAATCTACACTGAGGAAAAATGAAATGAAGTTTATAAAACATTTCATTTATAGAAAATTGTTTTCTATTGATTTATGAATGCTACCGTTAATTATTTCCAAATCACATAAATCAGTTATTCTTTGCTCTAAATCAGGGGTTCTCAAAGTACAGCCTGTGAGCCGGATATGGCCCGCCAGGGTCATTTATCTGGCCTGCCCGCCTGATTGGCCACCGCTGCTGTCTGTCAGAAGCGGAAGTGTCGGGGCTGTGTCGGGAGCTGCAGGCAATGCAACAGGAGAGAGATCGCAGAGCCGGACTATTCTACATGACAGGTATGCCGGGTCTGGCGGCTCTCCTCCTCTCCTCAAACTATAGTCCGGCCCCCCAACATTCTGAAGGACCGTGAACTGGCCCCGTTTAAAAAGTTTGAGGACCCCTGCTCTAAATGGTGCACTGACACTGTGGAAACAAGCATTCTGCTTAAATTTCAAAATACAACCACAATCATTCCCCCTCCCCAATGCCTGTCTATTCCACTAAAGTTTTATGAGTATGTTTCTGGAAGCTTTGGGATTCTGTAGAATATGCAGAAGCTTTTCTGAGTTCTGTGAGAAGGCAACAAATGGTGATGAACAAATTTCCCTAAATTGTTTGCTTATACCTTCCGATGTGCGATTGCCAAGGATTTGGGCTATGTACCAGAGCACAGGCTAGCAATATGGTGCCTGTGGCTCATTAGCACCTGCAGGCTTCTTTTGCCAAAATGGCGAAGGCAGAGCTGTGCCATAATGCTGCAGGTTCTACCCCTTTGGCACATACAAATGAGGTGGGGACTGTGTTGTGAAACTGTGATGCCGCTTTCATCATTTTGCACTTCCTGCTGCTATGGCCTATCATAACAATGCCACAATCTCCAAATTATTTTAAATGGCATGAACTACATAAAATTGCTAATTTTTCAGGAAGCATCTGGGATGCCTTAAGCCTTACAAGACTGTTGATCCTAGGTGATAATCTTTGTGTAGGGGCAATGTCTAGACCCAACAGGCCAGCATTCCCTCAAAGAAAAATCTTTGTGTTAGAGGTTCCCTGGTCTAGAAAGGTAAAAGAGTATTACTTTATTTTGTGTTGAGAGATGTTGTGAGAGTTTGTTTGCACTGTGCTTTTCTGTTTTTGTTACTTATGGAACAGCAACATTGCGTTGACATGATTTGTTTCCAGTTATTATTATGAAGAAAAAACCCTATGCCATCTGCCCAAAATGGTGATTCAAAGATAGGATCTAGTCATGCTTCAACAAAATTGTGCTGTCCACCTCAACCTGTCTGGTCTCCCATCTCTCCATTGTTCTTTTCATCTAAATGCAACAGTAATTGTGAGCATGTGTGCAGATGTTTTTCACATCTGTCTATGTCTGACTTCTATACTTTGCACCAGAATTCTAGAACAATAAAATATCACAATAGTTGATAACAATGAAAGATGTCCTGTTCTAATAACAAAATAAGCTATCCTTTGCAATAAAACTTCTAACAATACTGTAGGATCCACGCAACCATCTTAGACTGATTACTTTGTAAAGGACTTGATGCTAGAAAGCAATAACATGGCCAGTATCTGCAGAAAAGTGGTCTGCAGGTAGATTATCCAACTATGTACATACTCAAGAAAATTCTTTTCTTTCTTCTGACTTGACCACAAAAAGAAAAGAAGGAGGTAGAGATGAAGTATAAAGATGAAGCACGTTTCTACAGAAGAGAGGCTTGTCCTTGCAACACAGACCCCCTTTCTCCACACACTCACACACACCTGAGGACAGGTCTTTCTCTAGCCCAGCATTAACAGCAGACAGAAGCCATCCCCACAGCATCAAAGGGTCTTTGGTTGCACAAGGAGGGAAATTAACCTTGATAAACACCATCAGTTATGCAAGGCTACATTTTCACTACTAGTATCAGCCATTTTAAGGTGTTTTAATTGCCTTTAGCTCATCCCAGACAGGTAAGCAATTCAAACATCATTTCCAGTGATTTTATAAATGCAGACCCAGGCTTCTGTGCGAGAACCAAGCACTTGGAATAATTTTGAAACTTATTAGGTGTTGCCTGTCTCCGGATAAAGAAAGACCGCTGAAAACTGTGACAGCAACAGAACAAAGCAGATCTTATTTTTTTTTTATAACTGTGTTCAATTACATCATTCCTGGTTAGGTAATCACTCCTTGCAAAACACTGAACTATTATGATGATGATTGCACATGTGTGAAATGTTTAAAGACATAAGAGGAGCTGAACAGAAAAGGAAATAAGTGGATGACTAGAAACAACTAAATCTAACTTGGCTGAGTGGCACAGCCAAAGGAAATACTGTCTTCCAAAGGAAATACTGGAGAATAACCGGACGAAAGCCCTCAAGCGTGCGGATCCCACGCCCTCTCCAGGAGAAATTAAGATGAACTGAGCTACTGATCTGAACGCATTAATTAATTCAAATGCAACATTCTCATTCGCTCACTAAATGCATTTAAGTTTTAAAGCCTCCAGGTACCTTACAAAATATATAACACATTCATAAAAATAATACATCAGTTCTAACTATTTTTAAAAAGAGCAGCTATAATGAATAGAAGCAAAGGGTAAACGATAAAAGTAGCTTATGTAATTAAAGAATAGCATGCATTATATGAAATTCCAGGAAATAACTAACTAAAGCAAGTTACTTAAGGCCACTTTTGAAGCTATGAAGTGAAACTCCTGTCTCCTTTTTGTACAGCATATCCCTATCTATGATGGACCCAAACATAGACTTTAAAGACCAAAACTAGCACCCTGTGCTGTCCATTTCATGCCAACAAAATTCAATTCCCATGTTCTAAACTAGATGAAAGACAGACTACTCCAAGTGAAGAAGTTTGGCATAGTCCAGGCAGGACTATATGTACCAACCAAAGCTTTTCAAGGGCACTCCTGACTCCTCCTCCTTCCTGTTCTTCCACAGACTTCTAAGTGCCTCCATGGTCACTTGGTCATTTTTTTTCTCACTAAATGTTCATGGAAATACTGTGCTTAAGTACATTTAGTGCAGCTTGGCATGGTTGTTGCTCCCCCCCGCCCATGAAGAAAGAGAGAGATACTAAACTTTGAAACATGTACTCTATGATTTCTTTTCATAAAATAGCAAATGAGCATCTCTGAAAAGAAATAAATGGGAAATAAATTTTTCACTGTTAAGATAAATTGGAGTAACTGTGTCCAGAGCCTACAAGAAAAAAGGACTACTATTCTTGAATAATGTTAATGATACAACATTCCTCTCCTCCTCAGCTATCAATAAAACATTAATAAATATATTACAGCACTGTGAACAAAAATCAGCAAATCTTTATTCCCTCCCAAGAGAGGAACAAGGTTTGTTGCAAAGGCAGGTATGTACACAATTAAGGAACATATGTATTGGGGAGGGGGGAGACGTTGGATAATTGTTGAGATAAGGAATACTGCAGAAAGAATACTATCCATCATGAGGGTTAATAGCTAGATGATAAAGGCTGTAATTTCATAAAAGTTACATTCATCACTGAGTATATTAGGACATTATTCTGCAAGTGTTTTGGACTCCAGAAACACTTCAGTGCATATCATGAACTCTTGACTGTTAAAAGGAACACACAAGAATATAAACCAACCTAACCATCTGCCATCCTAACAGAATTCACAAAAGCTAGATTCCCCAAAATTACGGCCCAATTGCATGGAAGGGAAATATTTTTCATAGATAAAAATTATTAATAGGAAGCCAGTAACTAAAAAGCTCTAAACAGTTTATAAACACTAGTCGAGTGAAAACAAGACAGGTAGGACTGGGGCAAGGCGATTTACCCCAGCAAATACAAATCAACTGTTTACTGAAAAACCTGAAAGAACAATTTGGCCACACTGTAAAACGAGGGTGGCAGCACTCATACAATTTCTCATGTGCAAACGGTTAGAATTGCAAAATTACAGCACATAATGTGACACAACAGGCAACCTCTGCTTTGGGAAGGATTGCATAAAAATTTAATTAGCTTTCATCTCCAGAGATTACAGTCCCCTCCAGGTCACCACTGAGGTTACTGGTGGAGCAATAGGCAACTGCAGCTGCCTCCCCATTGGACCCAGATTTGCTTAGCCATCAGAATAATTCATTCTAATGATAAAAGGAGGGTCACTGGGACAAACAGTATTGGGTGAAATGTTGCAGCATGACAGATAACTTTGCCTTTCATCCGTCTAGTATCTTAAATCGTCTGGCACTCAAAGAGCACAGCTTTCAACAGACTTGCGATCTTTCATTGGCCTCAGTCAGTAGGGAAATAATCAGGTTTTGGTAGGAGAAGGACAATGCTCACCACTGGTAGGATAGGGAGAATCACCCATAAATAATACTCTGCTGCCATCTCCACATCCTGCTGTGTTGGTATGCTACAGCCAGCAACAGTACTGCTGTTCACTACCAAATACACATCCCCATATCCAGACACACAGGTAAAACCAAATACACTCCCGTACGGGTCACAATAAGGAACATTTCTTACATCAGTCAGTTGCTTAGAGCGGCCTGCGATGGTTGAGCCGGAGAACTGCCTGTTTCCTGCCTTTAAAGCAGCATCTTTTCTTGCTTGTTCAAGCAGGACTCTTGCACGTTCTTTTAGCTCTTCCTGTCTTGATAACATTCGTTGCTTCAGAATACATAAAAGGCAAAAAATGTCATACTGAGAGACAAATGAGCCCCAAATTAGGCTACCTATCCCATGGTACTGTACTGCTCTGCTAAGAAAAGCTGAGGCACTCCAGGAGAAGTAGAAGACAAAAGACCAAGGAGCAGCAGGAGAGGTTGCTTGCTAGTGGCTTAAAGGCCACCTTAAAGCTTGAGGGCCATATCAAGTTTCTACAGTATGCGGAGCACTGCATTCCAAAAGCAAGTAAGGCCAGGATCTCATTTTTTTAAAGGAGAACTATGTTCAGAGTTCTAGTTGGGTGAAATGAAGCTGTAAATCTTTATTTTGCCCCTTAACTGCCACCACCCAGCCCACAAAGAGCAATTTTCTAGGACTTATCCATTAAAGGAGGGTTCTGGGGACTATGAAATGGATGCTGGTGAGCTACCTGCAGCTTTTTGGCTGCCCTACCTAATCTGTGACACATCATAAAGACCCACTAATTGAAAACCACTGCAACAGTGAAGAGGCTGGGCCAAGCCCAAAGCAACAGAAACTCTTAGATTAGTTACCCCTTCCTATCAGGCCTGTATCAGAAGTAACCCAGCTGCAGATTAGCAGAGTTTTCACAGGGCAACCATGTTCCTTCCACACCCCCAAAAGCAGCCCAACCATTTGTAGCCTTTTTGTGCCATATTGGACTGGCCCTCCCTCTCCTCTTGCTCATCAGTTCAGCTTCGTGCTAGGTCGTGAATCTCCTGCTTTGCCTCAAGCAAAAGAGAGTATGTGGCAGCTGCAAGAATAGGTGTGTGGAGTAGTTGCTACAGAATGTGCTAGGGAAAAGACCTCTCTGGTACGTTCTCTTCCTCTTTTTATGATACACTATAACAAAGGAAGTTACCAGAAGAGCCTTCTAAGGTTTTTCCATAAATATTATGGAAGTTGAAAATACTAAGTTAATGAAGACTGCCCAGTGGAAAAGTAGAGTGGGACAATGTCATGAGTTTCTGCACCAGAGGCAAAGAAAATTCTGCTGGCTTTGCATCTCACCCTAACCCTAACCCGAACCACAAAGAGAATAATCATGTAATAATTAATAATTAAAATGAAGCTGATGGCAGTTGGTTACAAAATAAGAGCAAATATCACATATTAGGGACATTACCAAGTTAAATCAAACCCTGAGTTTCCAATTAAATGTTAGAGCATCCTTCCCCCAAACAGCCTCAGGTTTTTTTTATATATGCAGAAATCCTTTTGCTTATCTAGAAAGATCTATGGGCAGGGATTCTGCTGGCCTTGCACTCATCTGAGTCTTCCTTTTATTTTTTTTAATGAATCATGAAATACTAGATATAGCACTATTAGATGTTCATGCCGAATATTTGGGGCAAGAGCAAGAAACAACTCCCATTATTCTATAAGCAATTTTTCTACATGCAATCCCATCTTTGAAGCATTGGATGAATCATTAGAATTGGATGAAGAGAGAGAAATCAGCCTCCTATGCATAGCAGAACTATAATGACTGGGGCTCAGTGGTGTTATGTAGCCAATTTGGTTGGATGTGTTCCAACCAGTTGTTTAAAAAGTCAGTTTGAAAAAATTCAACAGCCAGATAGGAGAAGTGAGTTGGGAAGACAGGCCAAGGGCATGCAGACTCCAGGAAGGGAGAGCAAACATTTCTGGTTCCCTATCAATCAATCTTGGTGACCACTTGATGCTGAGCCCCCCAAGAGATATAAGAGGGTGGCTTCCCTTCCCAGTTGGGGATGGGGCTCTGACTGGCATTCAAAAGGGGACACAACTGTAGATTGCATCTGTTCCCTTGTCCTCTATCTCTGCTCCCTGGAGCAGTCTCATTTCAGAACTAATCTTCTGAATTGTGCGGCCTCCATTTGGTGGAAGAATGGAGGAAGATCCACATTCAGTTTGCAGTCCTATTTAAGTGTTCATGGGATTAAATTCCATGGCATCGCATTGGACCCTTTTCTTAGAAGTCCTGTGTAGGTCAGAATGATTGTTGGAACCAATTGTTGCCTTACCTAGTAACATCTCTGTTGAGGCCCTATTTGTGTTTAAGATTGCAAATAGCAATCTCCTGTGCCAATCTGGTATTTAACAGGGCAGACAGGGATATTGATAATGGGTCTTCTATAATACTGTAATGTAATGAATATTTTCGTTTCCACTGGACTAAGACAACTATAGGCTGGATCCAGATTCGTCACCTGTGAAAAAAAGTGCTCTTTTCATGGAAGACTTTTGACCCAGGTGAGGAATCTAACTGGTAGATCCTTTTTGATCCACTCCCACTGTAATCTCTCTATCTATTGCTGAAAATTGTCCCTTAACCTCCCCTAGCACGACAAGCATTTTGATGAAAGGAAAAGTTACTGAGATTGACTGCAAGAGAAGTTGTAATAGAAGTTATAACATTTTGAAAATAGTTTCTGATTCCTTACCTGGGCAGTTTTTGCAGGCAGATCTGTTGGATGTATCACTGTTTTGGCCTCAAACTCTAGGTTAGCCTCCACTTGCATATCTAACTTTTTATTAATATCCACATCCCTATTGTGGGAATATCCAGATTTATTTCCCACTTCTAAAGTTGCTTTTTCAACATGTAATTCAGAATCCAATTTTCTACTTTCTCTAAGGCCAAGGTGCTCCTGTTTTTCAGGTTCTGAGAAACAAATGGCAGTGTCTGAATTCTGATGTCCTTTTTTGTCAATATCCTCACCTAAAGTTGTGGGAAATGGATCCCTCTTTGGATCGCTGACCTGCATGAGATCACTCAGGTCTAAAGTATCTGCTTTGAGTAGCTTTTTCCTTCCCAACAGGGGCTGTGCTTGTGCTGTACTGTTTTTTCCAGGTTCCACTATTCCAGAAATCCTTCCCTGTTGTTTCTGCTGTTGCTCTGCATCACTTGTAGTCCTGTGAGAAGGAGGAGAGGCCAGATTTCGTGGCTCACCTGTGTCTTGATGCTCTCTGGCTCTTTCTGACTCTGTAACTCCACTGTCGTTTACAAATACCGAGTCCTCCTGGAAAACAAAGCCTGACTGTTGCAATTCTGGCTCTCGTTTTAGGTCACTCAGTTCCGCATAGAACTTTTCCTGGTCAACAGAGCTGTTCGTGTCTGTTTCATAGTTGCCGACTTTGTATGTGCTTTTGCTACTGTTCTCCTCAATCTGAACTACATTTAGCTCCTGTCCACTGAAATGTGCCCGTATTTGGTAAAGATAGGTCATAACAGTCAGCTTGTCAGGAATTGCTAACAAAACCATGTCAGAAGGTTCAAGTAGCCGGGATATTCCCAAGCTGGCAAATCCATCATATGCCTTAAAAGAAGAAGCAAAAACAGAATTAGTATTTTTGATATACAGAACACCTGAAAAGTATGATAATTGTCAGGAGGTGCCTAGGATTCTGAAAGAGGTTTCCTAGGATGTCACTGTTCAGCAGAACCATTACATTCAGCTAGCATTTTCAATAGCTTTAAATGAGATATGGACAAGAAACTGTTGCTATTAAAAGTCTCATGGTGCAGTCAGTAAAATTGTTTGTTAGAGCTAGAGCACAATCCTAAAAAACAAAACAAGTATTGATTAAAACACTACAGTAACTTCAAAGTAGACATGTAAATAGACTAAAATCAAAAGCAACTTTTTTTTTAATGAGTCTTTCAGTCAGAAAAGTTCAGCCCGCATTTCTCCTCTCTTTAATGTTGCTGTCAGGTCCGGCAGTAGGGATCAGCACACTTGAGCTGTTAGCTATGACCTGAGCTCTTCGGAGGCTTGCTGATTGATCCTGCCACTGACCCCAAATACCACCTACAGCTATCTGGGTCCAACACTCTTAAAAATGCCATCCACATTTTAAATTTCTACACAGCATCTCTGGGATCTTGACATAATACTTTAAAGGTATTGTAGGAGACTCATAATGGCAGGCACCAAAAGTACTGCCTGAATTTTAGGGCAGCTTGAAGCAGAGGCTACCTTCCAGATGCTCAAAGATGACGATTCAATACGAGTTTGAACAAGAAGGAACTGCCATTTTTTTTGGCACACTGGACTCTCTTATAAACCTGCTTTGCATGGATAGTAGATGAGATGGTTAATCATCTTCAGGATTCTACTATTTTCAACTACTGGAGAATATTGGCTGATTATCTGGAAAAAAAATATGTCTCCACATTAAAAAATACAGCAAAGGATACAACTATTCTCCCTAACACCAACTGTTTGATGTGCAGGAGCACTTTTGTAGAGAGGATAATTCACTTCTTTGTATTCTTGCCTGAAATACAAAATTGCATGCTCCAATCTGAGAGAACTCAGCTAAGAATGGAGATGACCTGGAGCAATCACAAAACAAAGATGATGTTCATTCCATTTGGGCTATTTGCTTGGTAACATTTAAAACATTGATTTTAACCAGAGTTGTTTGGTTTATGTCTTTCATAATATCATGCTTACATTATGCTTGTAATGTATTATTGCTCTTGGAATTCCTCTTATTTCTACATCCTGACATTGCTCATTTACCATGTACATTGTGAGCCAATTTGGACATTTTCCATTGTGGAATAATAGTATATATAAATTAAATTCTAATCTAACCAACCACAGAGAGGGAGAGGGAGAGGGAGAGGGAGAGGGAGAGGGAGAGGGAGAGATAGGATAGTGTAATCAAGATATAAACTGCAGGATGAGCCAATGTAGATGAAGACAGGACTAGGCTCCCTTCTTAATGGCTGAGAGGCAGAGACAAAGCTTAATCCTATCCCAACTAGTATCCCAAATTGTGCACTTCAAGGCTTACTGTTGCAATAAGGAGAAATTATCTTATAATACTGTATTTGAAATACCTAAACTTTTTGGCCTGCTACGTGAAGGCATGCACATACAGAGGAGGTTTACAATCTAACAAACAGAAAAAGTGACTAGGTAGGAGTAGGAAAAAGCAACAAATGCAGACAATTAAACTTCACAGAATTATATAGCTACTTGATCCTGGCATCCAACCTTTTCTGACAGAAAAATACAAGATGGCACAATCCACCTTTTGGCACACATCCACTAAAAGGTTCTTGGAATGTATAGGCTGTAACTTCACTCAGAGTGTTGTAAGTATTTGGGGTTGGTTCTAATGATGTAACAACATTTCTCAGCGGAACAGAACCCTCTTGCCCATGTGGACCTATGCAGAAGATTCAGAAGGTGCACAGGCAGGTACAGGGAGAAGAATAAAGGAGAGTCCAATAATGAGAAGATGCTGGCTTGTTATACTCCTTTGCTGGAAATGATCATTACAGGGAATTTTAAAAGAGATGTTGTTCTTTCCAACAAAGTTTGGAGTCATACAAAGCTCCAGCAATTAAAGAAATAGCCTGAAGCTGGAGAAAAGAAA